CGATGGCAAATCCATACCAGCCTGACACTTGTCACGCTTGATGAAGCAGCAGGAGGCGAACTCTTCACACAGCTGGGGGGGGGGGGGCACCGTGAAACACTAACACACTGAAGCCAAGCCAGCATGATTTTCTGCTGAATCCGGAACACACAGGAGGATTGCTGGCAGGAGGAAAGCGGTGTTAGGTCGTGTTTCATTCAGACACTACCTTCAGTAAGATGGGTGCCCTAGTGGGGGTGTCCCCATTTTACAGATGGAATGGGTGAGATTGGAGAGGCCACAGGACTTGCTGTATTTTGCAAGTGTTGGGGACAGAATGGCCCGGTTCAGCCACCTCTGCTCAAATGAAGAAAATCTATGGGCCTTCTTAATCTTGTTCTGGGTCTCCCTCGAGGGAGCCGAATCTTCCCTACGGACCAGACTTGACTCCTGGCTTGTGACATTTGCGGTGTTATGGCAAAGAGGAAAGAGGGTGCTTCTCTGACAGCTGAAGAGTCCAGTTAGTCCATTTTAGCCCGTAAACCCTTAATCCCACCCTGAAAGCAAACATTTACCTTTCCTAGCAGCTTAGTTAGATCCCTTCCCATAGCTTCTTCAGGCTGTATTCTTTCATGATTCCGTAGGTTCCTGACAGAGGGCTCCAGAGAGACAATCGGGCCGTGGCTGGGTCTTCAAGTGGGGTTAATGCTCAGCTTACTCAGGCTCAGGAATTATGCAGTAGGGCCGGGACCATAGCACAAGGTGGGAACTTGTGCGTCTCAGAGTGGTTTTCTGAAGTGCAGAATTGGTAGGAAATAGAGAAAGATAAGGCAGGGGCCAGCTGCAGCAGGGTTTGAATTCCAGGCTCCTGAGCTGGAGCCTTGTTGGGGGCCACTGGGCGTGGAAGAATTTGAAAGGAAGAGGCAAATGTGTGGGGGTGGGGGTGAGTTGGGGGGGCTGGGCAGCAGCAGGAAACTCCAACAAGGTGATCCTAGGTGGATCCAGTAGGTAAGGAAAGCCAGAGAAGGGTGACACTGAAAGCGCGGGGTAACACTGGCATAATCCAGAGGCCCCAGTCCCTCAGCCTCGGCCCCGGCCCAATCATTCCCTGTCGTGGGAGTTGTCCTGTGCCAGGTAAGGAGCACAGCAGCAGCCCTGCCCTCTCTCCACTCTGCATCGGTGGAAGCGCCCTCTGGCTCTGTGACAACGTAACATGTCTCCAGACGCGGCCAGGTGTCCTCTGGGGGAAAACGGCCTCTGCTTGAGAATTGCTGGCTTATGGGATCCGAAGTGTGATGCTTCCCAGAAGCCTGAGAGCAAGCAGAAAGTCAAAAGGGAAGATGGGGTGACATCCATTGACTTGGGGGACTGGCAGTCCCCAGACCCCTGCCTGAAAGCTCCTTCTATAGCAAGATCCACTTAAAAAGAGTCATGGAAGACAGAGACAATTTAAAACTGAGACCAGCAAGGGTGTCCACTCGCAGAAAGTCCAGCCTTGAGAATTAAGTCAGCAGCCATGGACTGGGACTCTGCTGGCTTCCAACCCCCTGGCTTCTAAATGAAGGCCAAGGAGGAGGAAGCAAACCCCTCCCCACGTCCCTTCCTGCGGCCACCACCACCTCCAGCCCAGCAAGGGTCCGTCCTGGAGACAGATGCTGCCCAGGACCACCGCCAGGATGGGTCACTGAGCCAAACTGGAGACTTTGGAGATTGGCTTGGGTTTGGCACTTACAAAACAATAAACCGAGTCTTTGAAGCAAAGTTAAACAAAGGAACCATTTGTCTATGCTAGTAGCTACAAAGGCAAGCAGGGTTCCAGGGAAGAACTAAGAAATAAAAGAATGCCAAACTGAGATGCAACTAATGTTTACGGAGTCCAGCCTGTGACCTTCTGCCAGGATCTGAAGTCTAAGGGCCAGTGAACGAGAGACAAGCAAATTTATTCAATGTGACATGGTTTAAAATGTAAGCTTTGGGTATTACATTAAAAATATCTACTAATTTTTTTTCCCTTCTCAGCTTCTTTAATGTATGCATTATGCTGGAAAACCATAGGGGAAAGGTCAACTATAATCAAAACCACGTATTTTTTAAAAAAGATTTTCTTCATTGCCTTTTTTGCTGTTATCATTCCTGTGAATTAATGACTCTGAATTGTATTTATCCAGTTTGCTCGTGCGCTGAGGTGCTAGCCCCATGTCTCTGTTTGGACACAGGGCTGATATTCACATGCCTGGGAGCCCTTCTCTCCTTGCAGCCCTTTCTGGCTCACTCGGTTTTTAACCTAATAGCCCTTCTTTCCAAGGGCTTCGATTTCTCCTTCCCAGACAAGCCTTGAGTGCCCTGGAAAGATTTTGAAGGAACAGCCCAGCTACACTAGGGTAGTGAGCCCCCTCTGCCTCAGCCCCAAGACAGAACTAGGCTTTAATCACCGGAGACCTTATTAGTAACTGCTCTCATCCAGACAAGATCAGGTCAGTAGGAAACTGTGAGGGTTGGGGAAGAGAGAGTCCAAGAAGTCAGAGGGTTATTTTGTACAAGTCACGGGTTTTGACACCTCCTCCTTTTTGTGTCTTCGGAAAGAATGGAGAGTCTGGTCACACGGCCCATGCCAGCCGCAGGTATAGCCCTATGAGAAGGCCTGTGCTGAGCGTGTGCAATGCCTGGGTTGGTCTCTAACATTAGAAAAATCTTATTCTGTCTTCCTTTTTCTTTTCTTTCCTAAGGAATAACCCTGATATGACTGCTACTGTGGGAATACGTCATTATCACGATTGAGACTCAGTTGGTCCATCTTGATGGAAAGAATGTCCCCAAACACACAATAGTCACCCTCCGGGTCAATACCACAGCCTGCTCCCGTGGACTCTCACCTTGGGAGGATATCAGAGTGCTCTTCTGGAGGCCAACTCAGCCCCAGCAGCACCCCAAAATAGGGGGGTCCACTGAATCACAATGTCCCTACTGTGACAAACCAAAACGACACCTTTCCACTCTCTTCGAAGAAGAAATTTTAGAATTGAAGGACCAAGGGTTTCCTTAAAAGATGAACTCCAGGATGGGGTATAGCTCAGTGGAGGAAGACTTGCCTAGCAAGAGAGCCCTAGTTCTCTCCTTACACTGCCAAATAATAAAAATTAAAAACTCCAACAACTATCTCATGGTGATTAGGATCTGAAAGGCTTGTGATTTTCTTGTTTTTGTATATTTGGAAGATTCAGTGGGTGAGGAACAGGCATCTCTTTGCATCATAAATGATACTATTAGCTGGGATCTCCTCTGTCATTTCTCCACCCAGCAAATGACTTTTAAGCCAAGTATGACTTTCAGATTTCTAAAAGGTCTTTCTGTTTGCTCGTGTGTAAGTGGGGGCTGGCCTCTACCTTACTCAGAAGCACAAAACCCCAAGCTCTTATTGAAAGTGACACCCTCCGCCAGAGACTGAGATCCAGTCTACAGTCCGCACCGACCCTGGGCTGACACGTGGGCATCCGACCTTCAAATACCGCCTGTTACTTTGACCAACTTTCAAACACAGCCCACGAATGAAGGGACACCTTCTCTAGGCTTCGCTGTTGTTGGGTTTCAAAGCGGTCCACTCGGCCCCAGAGTGAAGCCTAAAGTGCCGGGTTCCTGGGAAATCACACACGGAGGCCTGTTCTAGAAAGGCCTCTCCACAGCCAGACCTCCACAGGGCAAGGGCGACCACCTGTCACGGGATAAAGGCCTTCTGGAGCCCAATGGTGACACATGCCTCCAACCCCAGCTACCAGGGACTCTGAGAAGGAAGGATTGCAAGTTTGAGTTCTGCCTAGGCAACTCGCAGACCCAGCCCAAAACTTCAAAAATTAGATTAAATGTTAAAGGGAAGGGGCTCAGTGGTAGGGTGCTTTCCTAGAACCTGCAGGACCCCAGGCTGGGGGCGGGGGCAGGGCGGGTCCCACTAGGAACAGACTCCTCCACTGCAGCCCAGGACACTTCCTTCCTTTGGATTCATTGCCATCCGTTCGGTTTACACTTAGAACTTTTTCTAAACCGCTCCATTGCCCATTCCCCACCCCTTTTTGCAGGGGCATTTCAAACGCTGCGCCTCACAGCCAAGACGTTTGGCTCTTATTTCTTGCTCAATTTTTAAAATTAAAAATTCTTATAAGCAAAGCCTTCGGCCCTGCTCCTCCTGGCCTAATCAAATCCAGTGCCTTGCTTTCAAATTTTAAGCTTAGAGGAGGCAGGTTTCCACGATGCGGGGGCTCAGGCGTGTTTGGTCGCTTTTAGGGTTCTGTCGGAAATTCTTTCGTGTACGCGCCCGGGAATCGTCTCGCGTTTCCCATAAAAAGTCCGGGTTCTCTGCACCGTGACGCGTGCTGTCTATGATAGGCTCCCTTTCACCACAGCTTATGTGGTTTAACTGCTGCCTCTGGACGGCTTTTTCTTCCAGTGGTTCTTCTTCTCAGGGCCCCTCCGCACACAGCCTCGGGGAATTGCCGAGGCAGCCGGAGCGCCAGCGATCGCCACGCCCTGCCCCCACCGGCCTCCCTCCGCGCTCCGCGCTCTGCCTGTGCCAGCATCCGGACGCGGTGGCCTCCGCCGCCAGTAGAGGGCGCACTTACTTTACTTACGCAAAAGCGAGCCCCTGGCCTCGGCCGAGGGGGCGGAGGTAAAACACTTTGCAGCAAAACTGAGCCTAGGGATTGGTCGCTCCCGGCGTCTGCCGCAAAAGCTTAGAGGCTGGAGTAATTTGCAATCCTTAAAGCTGAATCGTGGAGTGAGCTTGATTTGGGGGAAGCTGCTACTCACTTAACCACCAAACGCCGAGCTGCAGGCGCGGCGGGTAATAACTTCTCTTGAGCAGCGTCTGCGCTGCACAGCCGCCCCTCCCAGGTTTCTTTTCTTTTTGCAGAGGCTAAAAGTGGGAAAGTTTTCTTAAAATGCCTTTGGCAGAGGGAACAGGGATGAGAAGATTGTCTTTGTTTTGGATGCCCCGGGAAAATGCAAAATAGCAAATGCCAAGCGAGTGTGCATTACATATTAAATATTGATCTACTCGGAAAGTGAACGAATCGTATTTCAAGTTAGGCAATAAATGAGGTCGATGCGTACTACAAGTGTGTATACACATGCAGAGTGTACAGGGTGAATGCAACTTCCGTATAGTATTCAGAAATCTACTAAAAGTCTGTACTCAGAAGTCAATGAAGGGAAAAAAAAAATGTTGCCTGAAATACAGCCAATTGTCAATTAGCTCAAAACACACCCCCTCCAAGAAAGACAAAACCCCAAGACGTCGAGACTCCTTTCCTCTTGATCAGACCAATGCAGTGTGCGCGTGTGTGCACGCGCATAATGATTAGGAGTCAAGTAATAAATGGGGGAAATCCCAAAAGGCTTTGAACATCCGGTTTGTTCGGCGTGGAAAGAGTTAACGGTTTTCTTCACAAGGGTCTCGGCTGACTCTCCAGGCTGGGTCCGCAAAATCTCCTCCTCCGCCTTCCGAGAAATCCAATCTCGAGGTTGGAGTCCCCTGTCCCCTCATCTTCCCTTCTAGCCCCTTTGATTTCCCCCAAACCTGGGATTGCGAGTCTGGTGCAAATGGGCGCCACGGGACGCAAGGAATATCTGTCGCCTCTGGACCCGGGCGAGAGGGGCTCGGGCTGGGAACCCGGTGCAGAGCGGCGGAGCGCAAGGGGAGGCTCCCGCGGCGCGCACTCACAGCCACGCTCCTCCTCTGCTGGGGCGCGGGCACACGCGGGAATTAGCGCGTCCGAGGAGAGTAGCCGCCTCCCACGCCAGGCTCCGCGGAAGTCTGCGGGCGGGGGGCGATATGGCGAATTCATTCTGGGTGGAAGGTACTGGATCCAAATAACTGAACGTGTTTAATGCGTTCACACATGCCGCCCCCCCCCCCGCCGAGAAATGCATGGGATATTCATGCGTAACGCGCTCTCCAAGTATACGTGGCAATGCGCTGCAGTTATTTCAATCATCCCAGGCATTATCCTCCCCAGACCTTCTGCTATTTATCTCTACCTACACTAACTGCGCCAAGAGAGCCCCGCTCTACCCCTTTCTCTGTGGGACTTAATGCTAAAGGCTTTTCTTTCCCCAGCCTTGGGGAGGCACCGGGCTGCCCGGGCAGCCGTGGGTACACGGTGTGCTCGTCGTGTTGAGGGCAGCTACTCCACCTGCGAGGGCTGAGGCACGCAGAACGGGAATGCAGCTTGTCCGAGCCTGGAGCTGGAGGACCGGAGAGAAAGGGAAAGGATTCGAGCGGCAGTAAAAGAAAATGGTAGGCGCGCGCAGTTAATTCATGCTGCGCCTGGGTGTTTACATCTGATAGCTGGAGTGTCGGGCTAGAGCTGTCTCCTCCCCTTTCCCCTGCTACCCAGAAGCGCCCCTCCCGGGTTCCCAAAGCAGAGGGCGGAGAAGGGGAAAAAAGATTCCCTCGCGAATCCCCACCCATCAGCCCTTTATAACAGGAGGGTCTGAGCGGGAGGACCCCCGCGCTGCGCTTCTCGCGGCCGCCGCAGCCGCGCCCCGACCGTCGCAGCCGCCTGGCTCCCCTCCAGGCTTAGAGGGGCTGGGCTTTTCAGAGGCTTGGCGGGAAAAAGCCGAGGGGGAGGGATCGGGCGCAGCCGTATAAAAGTCGTTCTTCTGGGCTTTCTCTGACTCGCTGTAGTAATTCCAGCGAGAGGCAGAGGGAGCGAGCGGGCGGGCCGCCGGGGTGGAAGAGCGGAGGGAGCACCGCAGCTCCGAGCGTTCTGGGAAGGAGCCCCAGAGGCTTGGATAGGGGCTTCGCCTCGGGCCCCGCCGCCCCCTCCCCGCCCTCCCGCTGACCCCACCGTCGGCCCGCGGCGCTCGCCTGGTCCGGGAAACTTTACGCGTTGCAGCGGGCGGACACTTTGCCCTGGGACTTACAACAGCCGGCGAGGACGCAGGAGGCTATTCCTTCTATTTGGGGACACTTCCCAGCCTCTGCCGGGACCCACGCCTCCGAACGGCGCTCCTCGCCGCCGCTGAAAGGCTGGATTTCCTTCGGGTCGTGGAAAACCCAGTAAGCACCCGGATCTATTTGCCTTTTCTTTTCCTTACGGTTTTAATCCTGCGGTGCATCGATTGGCAAGTCGGGGTGTCTTTCGTTCCTGTGCTACTGACACTTTCCCAGGGTAGTTGGGGTCGGTCGGGGTGGAGTGAGTGGTTGATCTGGCTCGAGGTAAAGTGACTTGTCAAGATGAGAGAGTAAATGGCTAAGGGAAATGGGGTGTGTGTAAAACTAGGATTTTTTTTTTTTTACTATGTTGATGAAGACCCCGTCCGGTTGGACATTCCTGCTTTATTGCATCCGTTATCACGGGGACTTGGCGAGGGGGGAGTCCTTCGCAGTGCTCAGAAAGCCCTCTGCATCTAAGCTCCGTGGAGTGTGGGTTGCACACCGCGAGTGTGGGGAACGGCTCCGCGGCAGCCAGCTCGTCCCCCGTCCCCGGGAGGGCATTTAAATTTCGGCGTAGCGCATTTCTGACAGCCGGAGACCGGCACTGCGGTGCGTCCAGCCCGGGGCGATGTCGCCTCACCCCTGCTTCTCTAGAGAAGTTAGCATTTGGCTTTAAAAATAGCAATCATAGTAAAATGTAAAAGCCGATCCCCCGCGGGAGGGTAGGGCTAGGGCTAGGAGGCGAAGAGACGCGAAAAGGGAGTCTGGGGCGCGGATGGGGCCGATTCGCCCACTCGCAGAATACCCGGGCGAACCTCGGCACCCAGCCTTGGCTCCCCGCCACCGTGCGCCCGGTTCCCGCGCCCTGGGATGCGGAGGAGTGGCGAAGAGCAGGGCTCTGCCTGCTCCAAGGCAGCTGCTCCCCTCGGCGGGGCCGGGAGGACTTCGCCGGCTCGGGGCGCAATCGCTGCGGGTCTCTGGCGGAGTTGCGTCACCGCGCTGAGTGTTCAAGGGAGGCGCCCCCGCTATTATGGAACAGCCCCCTTTTTTATTTGCGGGGATTGAGGGATCGTTAAAGTCGGAGGCTGAGCTGGCCCCTCCAGCCGGCGAGAGAAAAGAAAAGCCGGCAGAGGAAGGAAGAGGGCGCGCTGGGGTGGGGAAGGCGGGAGGGGCGGAGAGGGCGGCGGCGCCGCCGGCGGGGGCAGAGCGCGGCGAGGGCGCGGAGGGGCCCGCGCGGAGGGGGAGCGCGCCGCGGCGCCTCTTCGCCTTTCTCCTTCAGGTGGCGCAAAACTTTGCGCCTTCGCTTCTGGCAGCTTTTATTCCCCACCGCCGCCTCTTAAGGAGGCCAAGGCCGATGTGGATTCCCGGGCATCTGCGAGGCTGACTCCCAGGCTTAGGCTTAGCCCCTGCTTCGATGAAGCGGGGGCGCAGCGGACACCTCTCGGCTGCTTCGCCGAGTGCCCAGGGAGGTCCTAGAGGTCGCCCCAGGGGAGCGAAAGGGAGTCTGTCCCCTGCCCGGCCCCTCGCGGGGAGATCGCGCTGCAAGGAGTGGTTCGGGTGGCTTGCACCGCGCCAGACTTTGGCACCAAGAGACCCCCTCACCCAAGACTGACCCCCTTTGTGTGCCCCTGACGCAGGCTGCCGCCACCATGCCTCTCAACGTCAGCCTCCCCAGCAGGAACTATGACCTCGACTACGACTCCGTCCAGCCCTATTTCTATTGCGACGAGGAGGAGAACTTCTACCAGCAGCAGCAGCAGAGCGAGCTGCAGCCGCCGGCGCCCAGCGAGGATATCTGGAAGAAATTCGAGCTGCTGCCCACCCCGCCCCTGTCCCCGAGCCGCCGCTCCGGGCTCTGCTCTCCCTCCTACGTTGCCGTCGCGTCCTTCTCCCCCGGTGGCGACGACGGCGGCGGCGGCGGCAGCTTCTCTACCGCCGACCAGCTGGAGATGGTGACCGAGCTGCTGGGAGGAGACATGGTGAACCAGAGCTTCATCTGCGACCCGGATGACGAGACCTTCATTAAGAATATCATCATTCAGGACTGTATGTGGAGCGGCTTCTCAGCAGCCGCCAAGCTCGTCTCGGAGAAGCTGGCCTCCTACCAGGCTGCGCGCAAAGACAGCGCCAGCCCGAGCCCCGCCCGCGGGCACGGCGGCTGCTCCACCTCCAGCCTGTACCTGCAGGACCTGAGCGCAGCCGCGTCCGAGTGCATCGACCCCTCGGTGGTCTTCCCCTACCCGCTCCACGAGAGCAGCTCGCCCAAGCCCTGCGCCTCCCCGGACTCCTCCGCCTTCTCGCCGTCCTCAGACTCTCTGCTGTCCTCCACGGAGTCCTCCCCACGGGCCAGCCCGGAGCCCTTGGTGCTCCATGAGGAGACCCCGCCCACCACCAGCAGCGACTCTGGTAAGCGGTGGGTGAGGGGCCGCCTTTTCCCGTGGACGGCCACTTGGTACACACTGCCTTCCTCTTGTCATGTTTGGAGGGAGAAATGGGGGTTGTGGGAGCTCTGTGGACCCCTGAGCAGTAACCTACCCCCGCCCTTCCCCAGACCTCCTTGGTGGCCTCCCGCCCCTTAGGAATTTCATTTGGGTTTTTAAATCTTCTGGCTTATCTTGCAATTCAATCCACTCCTTTTACCTCCCCAGCATTGTAATTGCCCTGGAGAGGGTGTGAATGGGGAGGCGAGAGAATTGAGAGAATTGGTCTTTAGCGGGTGAATGAATTGCCTTCCTCTTCCCCTCCCTAGGAGAGGAAACGCTGGAATGCGCTGGTCTAGGGACCTAGGAAAATGAAGAGAGACCGTGATTGGCTGGGCAGCCTCCTGCTCCAGCCTCTGCCCAGGCACTAGTGAAAGTGCCTGGAGAAAGGATGGGCTGCAAAGCTGGCCTTTTCCCAGCCTGTCCGAACACTTGAAAGGAAGCCCTTGCCAAAGCTTGGTACATTTGTCCTGCCCCCAACCCGTAGGACTTTTGGCCAAACTAAGAGCTTTTCTTTTTTTTTTTTTTTTTTTGCACCCTGATCAAATAGGGAGTTAGGGAGTTGAAGTCATATCAAGAGATTTGAAGCTCTGGTTCACACCCCCTCAGGGGTTCTGGGTAAATTCCCTTCAAACAGGAGGAGCTTGGGAAAGGCTTTGCTCTGGGTGTGTCCAAAGTGTCATTAAGTCTTAGGTAAGAACTGGCATCGATGCCAGGTCCATACCTGATGAATTATCTGTTTGCCTGCACCATAGTCCCAGCTGCCCTCCTGGTTATCACACTGCCCTTCTGGGAGAATTAGAAGGGGTACTTGGCTGCCTCCGAAGTCACCTCTCAATCCATCAGTGCTTTCTATTTGCATAGCACTAATTTAACCTTGGCACTGACTTAGGGAAACAGCGCTAACCAGATGATACTCTGTTTCCTTTCCTAAAGAAGAAGAGCAAGAGGATGAGGAAGAAATCGACGTGGTCTCGGTGGAGAAGAGGCAGCTCCCTGCCAAGAGGTCGGAACCCGGGTCACCCCCTGGAGGACACACCAAGCCTCCGCACAGCCCTCTGGTCCTCAAACGGTGTCACGTCTCCACCCATCAGCACAATTACGCAGCACCGCCCTCCACGAGAAAGGACTATCCCGCCGCCAAGAGGGCTAAATTGGACAGTGGCCGCGTCCTGAAACAAATCAGCAACAACCGCAGATGCGCCAGCCCCAGGTCCTCAGACACGGAGGAGAACGACAAGAGGCGGACACACAACGTCTTGGAACGTCAGAGGAGAAATGAGCTGAAACGCAGCTTTTTCGCCCTGCGGGACCAGATCCCGGAGTTGGAAAACAACGAAAAGGCACCCAAGGTGGTCATCCTCAAAAAAGCCACGGCCTACATCTTAGCTCTCCAGGCGGAGGAGCAGAAGCTCCTTTCGGACAAGGACTTGTTGAGGAAGCGGCGGGAACAGCTGAAACACAAACTTGACCAGCTACGGAACTCTTGCGCATAAGGCGGCCAGGTCCTGCGCTGCTCCTAGGTCCTCAGCTCCTGGCTGAGCCAGTGAGGGGCGCGGACGTTCCCAGCACAAGGACCTGGGCAATTCTCGGCGATTTATGAACAGCTAAGAGCAAACAGATGCATGGTCGGTCACAACCTCACAACCGTGGCTGAGTCTTGGGACTGTAAGGTTTAGCCATAAACTGCCTCAAATAGAACTTTTAGGCATAAAAGAGTTTTTATGCTTGACTTTTTTTTTGTTTCCCTTAACAAATTTGTATTTAAGAATTGTTTTTTAAAATCTTAATGTCGACCAACGTTCCCTATGTAAATATTGATATTAAATGTAAATAACTTTAATAAAACGTTTATAACAATTATACAAGATTTCAAACATGTATTATAAACCATAATTTTTTTTATTTAAGTACATTTCCTTTTTAAAGTTGATTTTTTTTCTATTGTTTTTAGAAAAAAATAAAATAATTGGCAAATATATCTTGGAGCCAAATCTTAAGTTGTGTTTTGTTTCTTGTCTCTCTACACGCGCAAAGCACCACTCTTTTTTTTTTCCCCCACTGATTACAAATTAACGGAGTTTGACCCTTGTGAGGGCAGGTTTACAGAGATGAAGAACATTATCCTAAGAAAAGCAAGAGGGTTTCTTTGTCCAGATGAGGCTGGAGACTTTAGTTGTCAGGGTTATAAGATGCTTCCTGGTGTCGGTGATAAGAGCCAGAGTTGATAGTTAGGGAAGGGCAAAAGGTGAGTGAGAAGGTTAGAGGTAAGGAAGGAGGTTAGAGATAAGGTTAAGCATACAAAGCTGTGATGGTAGAGTGGATCCCTTTGGAGCTCCCACAACCCCCTCCTCACAACAAACCCCACAACTGCAGTGAGAGCATAGGCGGGGGAGGGGGGACACAGCCCACCCCCCTTTTGATCTTGGCCTACTATTCCCAGGTGCCAGCTCCTTCTGTCACAAGGTTAGCTCCAGCCTCAGGAGCCAGAGGAGGGGTGTTAGTATTTACCTTACTTTACCCACAAGGAAAGAGGAAAAAAAAAAGTTCGCAGGATTCTGTAGCTTCTCTGCACACAGCAAAGAGAATCCAGGTCCTCTGCTGGAAACACCCATCAGAATCCAGCCTCCTCTTTGTGTCAGACAAGCCTGGGCTCAGGAGTGCAGCTGACCTGAGTCCTTACCAATGGACCCACACAACAGCATCCCCATGGAGGAGCTGTTGTTGATTTCCCCGTAGTTCAGATGGGAAACCGAGGTGCAGACTGAGCTGGGAGATTCAGACCGAGGCTGTCTGCACAACCAGATGGTCTGTAAACAGGCAGGAGAGCAGGATCCATGAGCCACACATCAGGCCGGGTCCCAAGTAGGTTCCCTTTGGATCTGTTTACCTTGCTTTGCTTCTAAATTCGTGTTTGCATTGTTTAATCTTTCCATTCTCATTGAGGAGCCCATATTTCAGTCCTTCCTAGCTGAGACATTTGTGACATCAGCTCGCAGCTTGGAAATGCTCCTGCTCTGATGGTAAAATCCACGCGTGGCCTCTTGTCACGTGAGTCATTGTGCTTCCTCCGGACCACTTTCACACCCGTGACACATGCTTGTCCTTAGCCCATGAGAAAGCAGTTTGGAATGGATATCTTATTAATTATAAGTCACTGCATGCCCAAGGCTCGCACTAGAGCGCCGACTACACAGCAGAATGCAAGATGACTTCGCTGTTCTAATTACCTTGTCCTCCTCTCAGGGCAGTATTCAGCCCCAGCCCTGTCTTTGGAATTTTAATGTACCACTATCCATATATCAATCAACAATCACTGTCTTTGACCCCAAGAACAATCTATTCAAGTCTTGGTCTTGATCTTTCTTTTGGGGCCTTCGTCCTACCCTTCGCTCCCAGCTGCCACACCCTGTACCCTAAATTCAAAGGAAGATACCTTTGCCGACCACAGCAGTTCAAAGTGGTAGGGAAGCGGAAGCGGGGGCGCTCTTAAAGCAGGGCGCTCTTAAACGGTGTGCTGGCGGCCCCTTTGTGGCCCAGGACTGGAGTGAAGCCCTGCGTGACTCACCTGGGAACTGGGAAGGTGTTGGTTTGAATCTCTATGTCTGGGCAAGCCCGAGGAATCGGAGAGAGTGTGCCTCACTAGGAAAACAACACCTCGCATGCCAAACGACCGGGAAACGACCTGAGGGGTGCCGAGCTTGGCTGCTGGAATGGCAGAGAACCGTTCCAAGGACCTACTAGGTCACCTCCACCCAGAGTCACCCACCCCGGGACTGGACTGGGCACAGGACAGATGCCAACTGCTCTCCAGAAAGTCAGGCTGACCTGAATCACAATCAAAAGGGTCCTCCACCCCAGCCAGAGAGTCCCAGGGGTCTAGGATTCATGCAAACTGTTACATAGATAATGATGGAGATTCAGGCTCCAGGGGAGAGGTTTGCAGTTTGGTCTTGAACTCAAAGGACAGAATAAGCGACTACAGAGTCTGTTTTTACTCATGACCCTGTGGCAGTAAGGGCCCCCTGGGGTCTCCAGAGTGGTTTTGTGCCAGGTGGAATGTATAAAAAGGAAGGAAACCTTGTTTTATGCTGCCATTTGGAAGCTTCAAAGGCAACCAACATTATAAAAGCAATCAATCAAACTTTAAAATGAACAAGGTTTTACATCCCCAGACTAATACTTAGACCACTCAGAACTGGGGTGTGTGTGGAAGCAGAAATCTCTGCTGGTCCTTTGAGGCAAACTGGTGCAAATGCAAACAACACACTGCAACTGGGAGTTTTCTGTGGCCCTTTGCAATGATCTCTGGTTGGTTCCATCAGTCACTTTTTAACATGCATGCTGAGGGCCTCTGCAGCTCTTCTTCCCAGCAAAAACATTCCTTACACTGAAAAAGGCTGGGCGGTGTCCCTGTGCCCAGACACAGAAACTCCTCTCAGGTGACAGACCACTCCAGGTCTATCTTCCAGAAGGACAAAGCTAGACACAGTCAGAAGATCAAGACGAGAGACTCATTTTTAAAAATAGAACTAGATCTGGCAGTGTAGCCCAGTGATACTGCATCTGTCTAATGCGCATGAGCCTAGGGGTTCCTCTCCAATATGGTTTTTTTTTAAAAAAAACCTTTTTAAATATATATAAAACAAAGCTAAAAGTTTTATCACTCACCACCAAGGCACTTCAGCCCTTTTCATTTTAGCTCCTTCAGTGGGAATTGGACAGTCTGAAACGTCAGTAGTGGGGGTTTTGCCAGCCTAGTGTGAGGTGACTACATGATTCGGAGTGGATTTTGTTTTCAGTTCTATTTCATTCACTATTAGTCTACACTAAGCTCTTTGGAAAGGCAGAGTTGAGGGAACAAGTGTTAATGGCATGTAGATCTTTTGAGGCTGAAAGGAATGCCCTTTGTTTTTTAAACAATGCCTGGAAGTTCACCCACAGTCCCCAACACCTTCTTCCCATTGTCACCCCATTGAGGGATCCGCTCTCCCCGGCAGCCAGAGGTCGAAGGGGCGGGAAGGGGAGAGCTTGGGGAGGGGGTTCACCTTCGGTATGCACCTCCCTCCAGCCAACCCACACTGCTCGCCTCACTGGGCGCCCACAGCAGCCCGGCTGGGGAAAATGAGCTGCAATACTGAAGTTTCAGCAAGTGAAGTAGCTGGCCAAAGTCACAGAGCGCCAACAGCAGCAGCAGGTAACGTTTACTGTGGGCTTTGTCTTACTTCACTGCCAAAGCCGTTCTCAGGAGCTTACAGGGATTGGCCCTGAGGTGCATCCCTTGTCCTTTATTTTTTATTTTGAGCCAGAGGCTCTCACTGTGCCACTGAGTCACCCAGGCTGGACTCCAACTCTTAATCCTCCTCCCTCATCTTCCTAGAAGGCACCATCATGCTCGGCTGAGGTAAATTGAATTTCTACCCATTTTACAAATGAGGGTACTGAAACTTTGATCACCTCGGGTGCTTGCATTCACTGAGCTGGCAAAGAGGGAAAGCAATACTTTTGTATTCATTTGTACATAGGTGAGCCCTTAGGGTTGCTCACCCCAGCTGCTACACATGGGGAGAGACCCTGAGATAATAAGATTACAGAGATTCTCCCCCAGGCACTTCGGGACTAGTGGAGAACAAAACAACAGACAAACTCTAAATGATCTTCCCACTTTCCCCACTCTCCTCCTTTTAGTGCAGGCCTGGGCTATGCAACCAGCCCAGACTCTGAATTATCCTGAGGACTTTCAGAGAGCCTTCTAGGCAGTAGCTGGGAGCTCCAGCAGTAGGAGCTTCTGCGCCCCCAACCTCAAGAAAACAGACTAGGGGATGAGGTCCAGGAAGTATAGAAAAATGAGACAGAGGACAAGAAGACATGAGAGGAACAGGAATGGAGGGGCTGAGAAAGTGGCTTAGGCCCAGGAAGGAACCTTCCAGGTGGAAGGTGTGCAGGAGGACAACCAGCAGGGCCCCAGACCACCCTGCTCTTCCAGCCCCTTCCTTCAGGTCACCGCTGCCTAGGGTCCCCCAGCACCTCCTGCAGCATCTTCTCCGGGAGGCTCCAAAGAGGGGCTCGGGGCCAGCAGCAGCATCTGCACAAATGCAGATCTCCTCTGAATTAGAGTCCCAAGCCCTAGAGCTAGGTGAGGTTTCAGAACTTCTGCCCCTTCCAGGACAGCCACACCAGCATCCTTCTACATCACAAATGTGGTTCCTTCCCAGTTTAGAACTTTACAGAGAGCAGACGCTGTGGTCCCAATCCTTGAGAGGCTTTGACAGGAACTCAAAAACAAACAAGCAAACAAAATTTAAGAGGTTTCCTGCAATCCCCTGGATGAAATCTAAAGCGGTCTTCCAGGTCCCTGAGTCACTGCAGGAGACAGAAAACATCACCACTGGTACACTGGAAGAAAGCAAGACTTGAAGACTGGAATCACAGTGGCCAGATTTACACCCTTCCCTAAAGGCTGGATGGAAATTGGGGATTATATTGTAATCTGAGCCCCTCCCCTTTTTGAATTTTCCATAGAAAAAGACATTAGCTCAGTAGGGGTGGTTTATCCTCTCCCATTCACTAAGACTAAGACTAAAAGGATAAATTATCCACCAAGGCTAGTGACATCAAGCATAATCCTTGAGAGGCTGTGACAGGAACTCAAAAACAAACAAGCAAACAAAATTTAAGAGGTTTCCTGCAATCCCCTGGATGAAATCTAAAGCGGTCTTCCAGGTCCCTGAGTCACTGCAGGAGACAGAAAACATCACCACTGGTACACTGGAAGAAAGCAAGACTTGAAGACTGGAATCACAGTGGCCAGATTTACACCCTTCCCTAAAGGCTGGATGGAAATTGGGGATTATATTGTAATCTGAGCCCCTCCCATTTTTGAATTTCCCATAGAAAAAGACATTAGCTCAGTAGGGGTGGTTTATCCTCTCCCATTCAGTAAGACTAAGACTAAAAGGATAAATTATCCACCAAGGCTAGTGACATCAACCATAATCCT